CCACATATACAGTCCAGCAAATCCAACCCTATATTACTCTGTTGTAATGAAGGCAGAAGGAAAGATTGAGCAGCAAGCATTCCCAGTGACAAAATGCTACATGTCAGAAAACAGAGAAAAACTACCAAGCTGCATGCAAAGTGATATCTGAAAGCATGATAAATGGAGCCTATTCAAATGAATAACAATTCCATACTTAGCACGCATATATCCCAAATGACAAATTAACGAGAGAGGCTCACAGCTGAAGTAATTCGAGCTCTCTGTGTTGCATTTTTATGATACTTAGATCTACATCTCCAGGACTTCTACGTGCCTGTTATCCCAGAAGTAACAAGTGGGCTCCAAGTTGAAATATCAAGTGCATGGAAAGTAGCACTTTCTGTTTTAATTCCCTTGGAACACACACTCCTTAAAAATCCAGTATGATTCAGAAGATTACCGTATGTTTTTACTTTCAGTAATGACAACATTAGAAGAGAGAAAGAAAATATATTCACTCATCCTTCTTTACTGTGTTGCACTATTAAATCACCTACATAATGAGCCATTTTTTCAAGTGCAACAACTACACTACTTTTATTAGTAGCATAATTTTTCCCACCATTAACATTCCACGTGCTTTCCTGTTAGAGAAAGAGAGAGGTGGATTTTCTCTTGATTATACATATTATTTCCCATCCACACATGTGCTTGTAATAAAGCCAAAGAGGTTTCAAACTTTGTGCACAACCCTAAATTTTCCAAAATATTTGAAACACTGCAGCTCAAAAAAGCTGAACTAACTTCCCTTTCCAGAGCCATGGTGTATTGACTTTACAGAAAGTATACAGGATGCTTTGAAAGGTGTCTTCTTCGCAAATATCCTCCCCGAGTGTCATAACAGAGCACCTGATGAACCAACCTGGATACAACATGTTATTTGAGAACACAGAAATGCTGGATCACGCTAACAACCACCATGTCAAACTACACAGAGAAGCCACTGAAATCCACAAGCATGTGGACAATTTCAACAGAAAGGATGAAAACCATGAAAATTAACAAAATCTGCCTACTAGTATTTTAAAAATTCTAAAATCAGGACAGTAAATAAAGAGCAACACTCAAAAAGCTGGGGAATTCCAGACAAGAAACAATCAGGGCCAGTTAACACCACCCAACAAAGGATTTCCCCATGTCAGAAGCAGCCAGACTTTGAAGCTGCAAGGCCATTCAATGCTAATCAAGGTGGCCAACTGCAACATTCAAACTTGCCTCAAGCAGACAAGAGTTCTGTCTCCCACCCTGAACATTCCACAGATATATAAACCCCACTTGACTAGTTTTCCAACAGACCCTCAACCTCTGAGGATGCCTGGCATAGATGTGGGCAAAAGGTCAGGAGAGAATGCTTCTGGAACATAGCCATACACCCCTGAAAACACCCAACAACCCAGGGCCCTTCCACACAGCCCTATATCCCAGAATATCAATGCAGAAAATCCCAGAAAACTCACAGCAACCCAGTGATTCTGGCCATGAAAACCTTCCACAACACAAAAAATACTTTCCCCCCCCCCCATATTTTTTATAAACACGTCTTATTATTCCAGAGCTTACAAAACACAAAGAGAGAAACAAAACTGAGYGGAACAAGCTCCAAATTCTATCCATAGAAGCTGAGAAGTGATTACCACTAGTTGAACTTTATTCCAAAAACCACAATGAATGCCAAATAAACATTTGTTTGCCATGTTTTATGCCTTTTCAGTGACCCATGTAGCCCAATTTTCTACATGTATGAGCTGAACCTAAAAGCCCCACTAGAGCAGAGGAGTTTATGATGGCTTCAAGGAAGCACAGGTTGAGGCTCCCTTATCTGGAAAACCAGAATCTGAGATGCTCAAAGTCGTCTACATGGGTGGGTGAGAGAGTATGAAGGTTCAATGCACACAAACTTTGTGTCATGCATGCACCACATTATTGCAAATATTAGGTATCAAATGAACTTCAGGCTTTGTGAACACGGTGTCTGTGAAACAGACATGGATTTTGCATTTAGATCTGGATCCCTGTGCCAAGATGCAGGCAAATATCCCCAAATGCCAAATCCGAAACATTTCTGACCCTAAGCATTTTGGATAAAGGATGATCAATCTGTGGATATAAAGATAGCAAAAATGGTGCATCCTAGCATGGGCAAATTCCAGCTCTCCGGGTGTTTTGGACTTCAACTCCCAGAAATCCCAGCCCGCTTACTGACTGTTAGGAATTGTGGGAGTTGAAATCCAAAACTGGCTGCAATTTTTTTTAAAAATTAACAGCTTTATACTTATTTTTAGACTTTGCTAGACTTAGGTTTGTGTTTAATGTTAGATACGTTGTGGTTGTCCAGTTATGTTATGATTTAATTTTATTTACTGGTTATTTTGTTATAGTTCTGAATTTACTTTTGGGATTAGGCGGGATGGTTTATTTTGTCTTTGTTTAATGTATTATGGCATTGAATGTTTGGCATTTTTTTTGTTGGAAGCTGCCCTGAGTTCCTTTGGGGAGATAGTGTGGAATATAAATAAAGAAAGGAAGCCTCCAGGCAGGAAGCAGCCAGTCTTTGAAGCTGCAAGGTCATTCAATGTTAATCAAGGTGGCCAATTGCAACATTCACACCTGCCTCAAGCAGAGAAGAGTTCATTCTCCCACCCTGGACATCCCACAGATAAATAAACATCACTTGCCTAGTTTCCAACAGACCTCACAACTTCTGAGGGTGCCTGCCATAGATGTGGTTGAAACATCGGGAGATATTGCTTGGCCATACAGCCTGGAAAAATCACAGCAACCCAATGTAAATAGTTTTATTATTATTATTAAAACACCTGTAGGGCTGAAGTTTGCTCATGCCTGAAGTAGAATGAATGCAGTTTGACACAGGACTTGAGCTGCCATGGCCCAATGCCATGGGACCCTGAGAGATGTAGTTTTATGAGGTCATTAGCCTTCTCTGCCAAAGAGGGCTGGTGTCTCACCACATTACAAATGTGTCAAGCTGCATCCATCCTACACTGTGTGTAGATCATGCAAGGGAAAACTTTGAGGTGTTTTGGAGTCCAACTCCTACAATTCCTAACAGCTTACCAGAAGTTGGAGTCCAAACGACATGGAGAGCTGAAGTTTCCCCATACCTGGTGTTAATGCACTCTCCAAGAGACAGAACAGAAGTAGCCAGCCAGGCTTTGAAGCTGCAAGGCCATTAAATGCTAATCAAGGTGGCCAATTGCAATATTCACACTTGCCTCAAGCAGACAAGAGTTCTTTCTCCCACCCTGGACATCCCACAGATATATAAACCTTGCCTAGTTTCCAATGGACCTCTCAATCTCTGTGGTTGCCTGCCATAGATGCAGGTGAAACGTCAGGAGAGAATGCTTCTAGAACATGGCCATACATCCTGAAAAACATACAACCCAGTGATTCTGGCCATGAACGCCTTCGACAATATTTATAATTTTTTTATTCCGGCATTGAATATTTGCTGTATATATGCTGTGCTCCGTCCTGAGTCTCCCTTGATGTAGGGTGGAATAAAAATGCTTTAAATAAATAAATAAACAAACAGAAGTAGCCAGCCAGACTTTGAAGCTGCAAGGCCGCTCAATGCTAATCAAGGTGGCCAACTGAAACATTCACACCTGCCTCAAGCAGACAAGTTTTTTCCCACCCTGGACATTCAACAGATATATATACCCGATTTTGCTAGTTTCCAACAGACCTCACGACCTCTGAGGATGTCTGCCGTAGATGGAGGCGAAACATCAGGAGAGAATGCTTCTGGAACATGGCCAGAAAACTCATAACAACCCAGAACAGAAGGGCTTCCCTGAAACTGAGGGCCCTTCCACACAACCCTATATCCTAGAACAGGGATCCTCAAACTAAGGCCCAGGGGGCAGATATGGCCCTCCAAGGTCATTTACCTGGCCCTTGCTCAGGATCAACTTAAGTCTGAAACAACTTGAAAGCACACAACAACAACAACAACAATCCTATCTCATCAGCCAAAAGCAGGCCATATTTCCACTGAAATACTAATAATTTGTTAAAAATGTTCTTCATGTTAATTAGTGTATTGTTTTAAAGTGGGTTTTTTTGTACTACAAATAAGATATGTGCAGTGTGCATGGGAATTTATTCATTTTTTTCAAATTTTAATCTGGTCCTCCAGCAGTTTGAGGGATTGTGTCCTGGCCCTCTGTTTAAAAAGTTTGAGGAACACTGCCCTAGAATATCAAGGCAGAAAATTCCACATTATCTGAGTGTGGACTCAGATAACCCAGTTCAAAGCAGAAATGGTGGTATCTTCTGCCTTGGTATTCTGGGATAGAGGGCTGTGTGGAAGGGCCCTGGGTTATCTGAGTCCATACTCAGATAATGTGGGATTGTGTGGAAGGGCCTCCTTAATATCAAGGCAGGAAATCTCACAATACCTGCTTTGAACTGGGTTATCTGAGTCCACAGTGTCATATATTCCAGTTCAAAGAAGATAATATGGGATTTCCTGCCTTGACATTCTGGGTTATATGGTTGTGTGGAAGGGCACGGAAGAGGGGGGTTGGCTCCTTGGCATTCCGGGTCAGCTGAGGAGAAACCAACGCGCTTCCCTCTCCCCACCCCTCAAATGGGGAGAATGGTTGGCTCCACCACTTTGGAGGGAGGGAGCCTCAGCTGGGCAGACTGCGTCCCACTTTCAGCAGGGGAGCAAGTCCAGACTGACCTCTTTCCTCCCGCCTTTCTGTCGCGACGTTGCCCTCAATAAACCCCTGTGGAAGAACAGAAGGAGAGGGAGGGCGAGAGGGAGGGAGAGAGGGAAGGAGAGCAAGTCGCTGGTGGAGCGGCCAAGTTTCTCGCCCCCTTCGCGCCTGCAGGGAGAGCGGGGAAGGGGAGCTCCATAGGTGCAAACCTGACAGAAAGGGCTTGACCCTTGTGGCCTCTTCGCAGCTTCAGAGCGGGCACTTACTTACCCAGAGGGCGGCAGGCGGGTGGAGGCGGCGCACGGCTGGCTGTCCATGCCTCTCTGTGTCTCTTCCTCCTCCTCCTCGCCCGCCTTGGGGAGCCTCAGTAGGGGTTCCCCGTGGGGCCTCGCATCCTCCTTCCCCGGCGCACAACCAACCCCACCTTGGAAAACTTCTCCCCCAAAGCCTCAACGCAAGAGAGCCGCCCTTGGAGAGAGCCCCGCAAGCAGCGCGCCTTCTTCCCACTTTTCCCGCTCCCTCGGGAAGGAAGGGAGCCTTTCTTTGGCTCTCTCTTTCCTTTTCTTTCGCCCCACAAACGGCTGGAGCAGCTGTTCCCCCGTCAGGGGCTGCTCTCCTCCATTCCCGCCGCTAGGATGCCGAAAGGGAAGGCGGAGAGAAAGAAGGAAGCAAGCAAGGAAAGGAGGAAGGAAGGAGGGAGGCCGGCTGCAGGTGGGAGGAGCGGCTCCAGGCTCCGCGATCTGCTTGGCGCGCCTTCCTCTCGCCTCTTATTATTATTATTTGCTACGTAACAAGATCAGTACACAGCAAACAAGGTCACTCTGCTGGCTTTTGCATTCAGTCACTCATCAGACACTTCCCAAGTGTCTAGGACTGTGTGATGTATCGGGAAATAATGCGTGCAGATCCAAGTAGGGTGGCTTTTTGCAGCTGACATGGGAATTTTGTCAGCGCCGATTGTTTTCAAGTGCAGGCCAAGGTCTTTAGGCACTGCACCCAGTGTGCCATCATCATCAACATCATCATTATTATTAGGTAGACAACAAGGGCTAGCAGGCAGGATCATCAAGTTTGCAGACGACACCAAATTGGGAGGGATAGCCAATACTCCAGGCTATATGGCCATGTTCTAGAAGCATTCTCCTTGAGCCCCCCCAAATTCTCAGGGTGGTCCGCGAAAAGGCCTTATGGTGCATTATTTAAACTGTTATGTTTATTCATATCATGATCTGATCACCATACTCAATATATCCCATATGCATGGTGGGTATTGGGGTAATGATACAAAAGGTTTGCTAGGCTAGACCCTCTTTCACTCAGACTCAGCCCCCCCCGAACCTCAGCCCCCCCCCGAACCCCCCCCTGAAAAAAAATTCAGCCCCCCCCCCCCCGCAGACGACACCAAATTGGGAGGGATAGCCAATACTCCAGAGGACTGGAGCAGGATTCAAAACGATCTTGACAGATTAGAGAGATGGGCCAAAACTAACAAAATGAAGTTCAACAGTGACAAATGCAAGATACTCCACTTTGGCAGGAAAAACGAAATGCAAAGATACAGAATGGGACAATGCCTGGCTCAAGAGCAGTACGTGTGAAAAAGATCTTGGAGTCCTCGTGGACAACAAGTTAAACATGAGCCAACAATGTGATGTGGCGGCAAAAAAAGCCAATGGGATTTTGGGCCTGCATCAATAGAAGCATAGTGTCTAGATTTAGGGAAGTAATGCTACCCCTCTATTCCGCTTTGGTTAGACCACACCTGGAATATTGTGTCCAATTCTGGGCACCACAATTGAAGAGAGATATTGACAAGCTGGAATGTGTCCAGAGGAGGGCGACTAAAATGATCAAGGGTCTGGAGAACAAGCCCTATGAGGAGCGGCTTAAGGAGCTGGGCATATTTAGCCTGAAGAAGAGAAGGCTGAGAGGAGATATGATAGCCATGTATAAATATGTGAGAGGAAGCCACAGGGAGGAGGGAGCAAGCTTGTTTTCTGCTTCCTGGAGACTAGGACGCGGAACAATGGCTTCAAACTACAAGAGAGGAGATTCCATCTGAACATGAGGAAGAACTTCATGACTGTGAGAGCCGTTCATCAGTGGAACTCTCTGCCCCGGAGTGTGGTAGGAGGCTCCTTCTTTGGAAGCTTTTAAACAGAGGCTGGATGGCCATCTGTCAGGGGTGATTTGAATGCAATATTCCTGCTTCTTGGCAGGGGGTTGGACTGGATGGCCCATGAGGTCTCTTCCAACTCTTTGATTCTTTGATTCTAAGATTAGTACACAGGAAATAAGATCACTATGCTGGCTTTTGTATTAGATCATTCATCAGACACTTCTCAAGTGTCTAGGACTGTGTGATGTACAGAGGCAGCCCTGGGTAATTTTCAATGGTAAGCAAACAGTATTTTGGTGTGCCCCCCCCCCCCCCCCCCCAAACCAATCACTGATATATATTTTCTGTTCGTCGTGGGAGTTCTGTGTGCCATATTTGGTTTAATTCCATCATTGGTGGAGTTCAGAATGCTCTTTGATTGTAGGTGAACTATACATCCCAGTAACTACAACTTGCATATGTCAAGGTCAGTTTTCCCCCAAGAGCGCCTCAAGAGCGCCCCTGGGCAAGATCAGCTATACTGCAAATGCTTACTTTGCGTAATGGGTTGAGCCGCCCCTGGTGACGTATCAGCGAATAATGCATGCAGATCCCAGTAGGTGGCCTTTTGCAGCTGACAGATGCTAATGTTAACAGTGCTGATTGTTTTAAAGTGCAGGCCAAGGTCTTTAGGCACTGTACCCAGTGTGCTATCAGCATCATCATTATTATTACATACACAACAAGATTAGTACACAGCAAAGAAGATCACTATACTGGCTTTTGTATTTGGTCTCACCTCGGACACTTTCCAAGTCTCTAGGACTGTGTGATGTATCGGCAAATAATGCATACAGATCCCAGTAGGGTGGCCTTTTGCAGCTGACAGATGGTAAACTTGCCAGCGCTGATTGTTTTTTGGGTGCACGCCAAGGTCTTTAGGCACTGCATGTAGTATTTTAATCGTGTATTTCTTATTGTATGTAATAATCTGGTTTTTATGAATTTGTTTGTCCTGTATGTTAGAGACCTATGGTCTAAGCATTATATAAACTACAACTACTCCAGATAGGCCAGTGTAGATCCAGCCTAGGTGAGGAATCCTCAGAGGTGGTTTTGACAGGTTTTGCCTCTGAAGTACAGCCCACAGAACCCAGTCTTCCTTGGCCGTCTCCCATCCAAGTACTAAGCAGATCTGGCCCTGCTTCGCTTCCCAGAGCAGAGCTGGCAGTTGTAGGGTACAGTTCCTCCTCTGTTTTCTGGCTCTGTTAGGAAAGGAAAGCAGGATATGAAGACAGGCAGTCCCCGAGTTACAAACACCCAACTTAAAAACTACTCATAATTAAGGCAACTGGAAGTGAGAGAAATCTACCTCGAGGGAAATTCACTCCTGAAAGACTTATCATAGGAGAAAGGTATCTCCACTGAAGCTTTCTCACCCAACAAGCTATAATTCCCAAAATCCAATGATCACAGGGACAGAAAGACGAAATTGTCTGAATATGGGCATAGACAGCACAACAAACACCACAGGTGTGTTCACCCTTCCCTATACTCTCCAAAGCTAAAACATGCAGACACAGGAGGTCTCCAGGCAGCAAGCAAACAAGGGCTAGTGAACACCTCACTATTTGACTATGTGATCTTAATGGTTACTCACATGCTGATGGATGGAGCTCACTGAACACTTGCAAATCAAGCTTGCTAATTGCAGTTTTTACAATTGGTTTTTTCTCCCACCCTGGACATTCCATATATACTACTCTTGCTTTACTACCATCAGATCCTCTGAAAATGCCAGCCACAGATACAGGAAAAATGCCAGGAGAAAATGCTGCTAGAATATGGCCATACCGCCCGGAAACCAGACAATACTCCAGTGATTCCAACTGTGAAAGCCTTCAACAATACAAAAAACTGTATTACTGATGCTCAAAGAATCCATAGTCTTGAGTTTGCAGGACCTGGGTAGATCCTCATAGAGATCATTTCACCAGTCCACATTCAGTTTAGCCAGCAATTGCCAAAGAAGCCTGTTCCTCTGCAGCAGTTCACTTACAGGAGGTAACTACAGGCTATCATGTCCAACTCGGAAGTATCTCTTATTGGCCTTAACAAAGATACCTTTAGCACTGAACCAGCCTGCAATATAAGCCTACATTTGTTGCGCTGGAAGGAACAAGCACTGTCTTTGCAAGTATGAACAAAGGAGAGTGATTCTCTTCTCTTGAGGGCTGTACTTTATTGCCATTGCCGCGATCATGGGATAAGTTTACACAAAGAGCTTATTTTCAATTAAATTTGGATAAAAGGCTTGCCTTTTCACCCTCCAGAGCAATAGGCTGCATTTCAAAAAACTGTTTGTAGTGAATCAAATTCATATAGATCTTTGCTGGGTACCATAGACTTCTACTCAGGAATGAACATCCAGCTGTTATAAAAAAAGGCCTCTGGTCATAAGAAAACATAACTTTCCCAAACTTTGGGTAAGGGTGTTACTGGAAGTTCAACTTCCAGTGTCAGTTTTGGGTTCCACAGTTTGAGAACTGTAAGGTTCACCTTGGATTAAAGTTCCAAATAGTAGTTTAGAAAATAAGCCTAATTCACATTTAAAATTCAGATGTACAAGGATTCAGAATGGAAATTCAACTGCTATCTATCTCTAATCCCGCACTCATCCATATTTGTGACCATTGGCTACAATTTAAAACCCACAGTGACCCACACTGCCTTGAGTAGCACTGCTCTGTAACAATCTTTTTTGACATTTGAATCTTGAGTAAACCACTGGATCCACCCAGACCACCACCACCTTATCTGAAATGTAAAAAGGTGCTCTGCCCAGGGTAGCTAATTGTGCATTTTTTGGTAGACATCTTTTTTAATTGTTTCCCAATAAACTATGGAAGGAGGAAGAGTGTGATTAGAAAAAATACTTCAAGGGCAAGCAACTAACATGGATATCTAGGTCTTAATACTGGCATGGCACAAGGGAGGAAAACAAAAATACTGGCACAACACAAAGAAAAACAGGAATGTGGGAGTTAGCAGAGGAGACCAGTGAAGTAAAGGCAGTGCCAAGCTAAAATTGGCCTTTAGAGAACCATATTTGGAGCTGAAAAAAAATCACTGATCATGTTCTAATAAATACAAAAAGGTACATATGCAAGGTTTCAGAAGCAGTATTAGAAATACATTTGTTATCCATTTGAAGTCTGCTTTAGTAAGAGGTCAGTGTTGGTCTCCCCCGCCCCCCTCCAAGGAGCAGTATACAGAGTTTTTCACAATGTTGAATCATTTTTTAAAATCCTCCATTTGTCATTTGTCTGGCTAGAGTGTACACACACAACCTGGCTAGAATGTACACCCACAACCCAGTGATTCCAGCCATGAAAGCCTTCGACAATACAGTGTACACCCAGTTCAAAACTGTCTTTTTGGCTATCCCTTTTCACCAAGGGCACCTGAGATGATGAGACTGTTGTTGTGTGTCTTATTATTATTTCTGACTTATGGAAAATCCTAAAATAAATCTATTCTGGGGTTTTCTTAGTAAGATTTATTCAGAAGGTGTTTGCCCTTGCT